TTTTATGGAGTAAGAAAAACCTTGTTTTCTTTCTGAAGAAAGAAAAGGAATTAGCTTATTGAAATAGACAACAGGGTGAGTTGGAACTTGGAGAAAAGAACAAAGTGTTGTGCATTAATATGGAGCTTTAGGGGAGAGAGTGGCTGTAGTTCAGGTTTAGCAAGTAAATAAGCAGCATTACAGTGGGCTTTGAAAAGCATTCAGGATGGACCCTCTCACTGTCCACTACCCTTAAGAATCTTCCTAGATGCCCTCAGCCAGCTTCTCTTGTTCTTCCTGAATTTCTCTAGTGCACTGAATATAGTAGAATTTTACACTGGAGAGGAGTAGTAATAAAATAGCTTGGGGATGGGTTGGGGGAGAAGTAGCAGTTACCATGAGGAAGAGAGCCAGAATCTGATTTGAATTAAATCTTAAATTTAGGACTTTTTCCTATGGATGAATAGAAAACTACTGAAGATTATTCAGAGTGGGCCATCATAGCAAAGGAAGATTCTGAGAGCGGGAGAGAGAGAAGAGAAATGAGCATGTGTATGAGTGAAAACAAAAGTTTTCTGAGAACTATAATTCATTAAAAATAGAACTTAGAGGCCGGCGCTGCGGCTCACTAGGCTAATCCTCCGCCTGCAGCACCGGCACACCGGGGTTCTAGTCGTGGTTGGGGCACCGGATTCTGTCCCAGTCACTCCTCTTCCAGTCTAGCTCTCTGCTGTGGCCTGGGAGTGCAGTGGAGGATGGCCCAAGTGCTTGGGCCCTGCACCCCATGGGAGACCAGGAGAAGCACCTGGCTCCTGGCTTCGGATCAGCACAGCGCACCGGCCGCAGCAGCCATTGGAGGGTGAACCAACGAAAAAGGAAGACCTTTCTTTTCTCTGTCTCTCTCTCTCTCACTGTCCACTCTGCCTGTCCAAAAAAAAAAAAAAAAAAAAAGAATTTAAAGAGGAAGAGGTAAGACTGGAAGAAAAGGCAAGATACAGATCACAGGAGGAAGCTAAAGTGTTTCAGCTTTTCTTAAAAAGCTGTCACAGATAAGCTGAGACCTGAAGAAGGAAAAGTAGTCTATTTCCTAGTGGGAAATTATTGACAGATTCCATATGAAAAGTAATTGGGTAATGTTTGTGTATTAGAAGATAAATTTGGCAACAATATAGAGAATAAATTTGAAGGGATCAAGTCTAGAGGCTAGAAATCCAGGTGGGAAACTGTTGTAATCTAGGTCAAAGGTGATAGAGTCCAGCAAAGAGCAAAAATGGCAAGATAAGGATAATAAGATAATATCTGAGAGAAATATTAGTCCGAACGAAATTGAATAGACTTGGAAATTTATTAAATTAGAGTGGGATGAGCTGTTAAAATTTTTTGACTAGATGCAGATGTAAGAAGAAAAAGAAGATAGCTAATAAAATATTGAAAAAATGGCACCATGGCTCAATCCTCTGCCTGCAATGGCGGCATCCCATATGGGCACTGGGTTCTAGTCCCGGTTGCTCCTCTTCCAGTCCAGCTCTCTGCTGTGGCCTGGGAGGGCAGTGGAGGATGGCCCAAGTGCTTGGGCCCTGCACCCGCATGGGAGACCAGGAAGAAGCTCCTGGCTCCTGGCTTCAGATCGGCACAGCGCCGGCCGTAGCAGCCATTTGGGGAGTGAACCAATGGAAGGAAGACCTTTCTCTTTGTCTCTCTCTCTCTCACTGTCTTTATCTCTACCTGTCAAATTAAAAAGAAAGAAAGAAAGAAAGAAAGAAAGAAAGAAAGAAAGAAAGAAAGAAAGAAAGAAAGAAAGAAAGAAAGAAAGAAAGAAAGAAAGAAAGAAAGAAAGAAAGAAAGAAAGAAAGAAAGAAAGAAAGAAAGAAAGAAAGAAAGAAAGAAAGAAAGAAAGAAAGAAAGAAAGAGAAAGAGAGAGAGAGAGAAAGAAAGAAAGAAAGAAAGAGAAAGAAAGAAAGAAAGAAAGAAAGAAAGAAAGAAAGAAAGAAAGAAAGAGAAAGAAAGAAAGAGAGAGAGAGAGAGAAAGGAAGGAAGGAAGGACGGACGGAAGGAAGGACGGAAGGACGGACGGACGGAAGGAAGGAAGGAAGGACGGAAGGAAGGAAGGAAGGAAGGACGGAAGGAAGGAAGGAAGGAAGGAAGGAAGGAAGGAAGGAAGGAGAGCTTAGCAGGCCTGCACTTTGGCTCAGTGGGTTAACTCCCTGGCCTGAAGCGCCAGCATCCCATATGGACGCTGATTCAGGACCTGGCTGCCCCACTTCCAATCCAACTCTCTGCTATGGCCTGGGAAAGCAGTAGAAGATGGTCCAAGTCCTTGGGCCCCTACACCCATGTGGGAGACCCGGAAGAAGTTCCTGGCGCCTCACTTCAGATTGGCACAGTTCTGGCCGTTGTGGCCACCTGGGGAGTGAACCAGCAGATGCAACACCTCTCTCTATCTCTGTCTATCTCTCTCTCTCTCTCTCTACCTCTCCTTCTCTCTCTAATTCTGACTTTCAAATAAATAAATAAATCTTACCAAAAAAAAGTGGTGTAAGTAAAGGATCAAAGACTGTAACTGATAGAGAAGGAATTGAGTACTGTTAGAGAAAATAAAGAACTGAGATCTTGATGAAATAGAAGGACAAACATAATGGAACTGGGAAATTGTGGTCCAAGAATGGGACTTTTTTTTTTTTTTTTTTTTGACAGGCAGAGTGGACAGTGAGAGAGAGAGAGACAGAGAAAGAAAGGTCTTCCTTTTTGCCGTTGATTGACCCTCCAATAGCCGCTGCAGCCGGTGTGCTGCGGCCTGCGCATCGCGCTGATCCGAAGCCAGGAGCCAGGTGCTTTTCCTGGTCTCCCATGCAGGTGCAGGGCCCAAGGACTTGGGCCATCTTCCACTGCACTCCCTGGCCATAGCAGAGAGCTGGCCTGGAAAAGCATGATCCTGATGGCTAGTGATATTGGGGCACTATTCAATATATATGCTGGCTTTTATCAGTATTTCTTCTTTTGAGAACTGTCTACTTCAGTCTTCTCCCCATTTATCAACCAAATTGGTGGGTTTTGTTAAGGTCTCAAAATTGCTGATGTCTCTCAGCACTCTAATTCTTTGTCACATAAGTGACTTGCATCTTCTTTCCCATTCTGATCGCTGTCTCTCCACGTTACTGATTGTCTCCTATGCTGTGCAAAAGCTCTTGCATTTCATACAGTCTCATTTGCATAATTCTTCTAGCTTCAGTTTTCCTCTAGTTGCCTGGGGCTTTGG